TGCAGATCAGATCGTGGCGTAATCTGCCAAGCATTTAATCGCCTTGTGGGACTGCCAAGAACTGCAGGCGCAGCGGGCCAATCAGTCCCCAAACCGGACTGCTCAAAATTTTTACTTTCACGATCTCGGCCACTCAGGAACAGGCACAATTTCGAAGCCAGCTTCGAATCGAATGAGCCAAGAAGCGGCGTGTTTGGGACGATCCCTCCGTTTTGCGCTGTACACAGATGCACACGCTTCTTGAAGCGACCCAATCTCTCTACTGCTGCCTTGCAAACCTACCATTTGCCACCGCCCAAGCTATTTTTCGCAGAGCACAGGTGCCTGTGGCTCTCTTGGCAGATCGGCCAAGCTCCAGCTGGCCTGATGTTTATGTGTGCGTTAACTTGGCCCCTCCCTGTCAAATGTGTGGCGATCGCCTCCGTGAGGCTGCTCTCTCTCCATCCTCATTCGCTCTCGGTAGCTGCCCCTTCAAATCGCCCGAGTACTTGCTGCAGCAACAAACTCACCATGCCACTGTCCCTTGCTCGTGTTTTGCTTTGTCTATTCCTTTCTCCCTCTCCCCTCCTTCATACAACTGTCAACAGAGAAAACAATACGCCTTCTCTTTCTTTTTCATTCTACCTTTTGTCTTTTTGTGGCTACCCAGAGAAACCTGGGTGTTATCGTTTAGAGCGTAGACCAGCAAACTGCATTTGCACATAGACATACAGCGAAACTATGCCTGCCCGCACATCATCCCGTTCATTCCACACAGCAAGCTTGCCGACCGGCGCCGCAGCAAGCTCCCGCCTATGTCACCGTCCACCATGCGCGAGCGCATCGCCAACGGCGAGTTCCTGGTGATCATCGATGGCCTGGTGGTCAAGCTCAACAACTTTATCAGCAAACACCCGGGCGGCCCGCTCGCCATCATGCACATGGTGGGCCGTGATGCGACCGACGAAGTCCATTCAATGCACCTGAAAGAAGTCATTGACGACATTATGCCGCGCTGGGCTGTCGCCACGTTTGTCCCTGGAGAGAAGGACGGATTCAAAGTGTCGTACGTCGAGGATATGGAGCTGCCGTATTCGGCTGCGCGCTCGGCAGTCAGCGAGGGCGAGCGGACCAAAGAGGGTATGGACTACGCTGCGATTCAACATGACTTCCGTCAGCTCGACCAGAAATTGCACGACGCTGGCTACTACAAGTGCAACTACTGGGACTACGCATTTGACATCGCCCGATACATCACATTCTTCGCCACTGCTGTGTCTCTGATCATCTGGGGTCCACATATCATATGGACCTACCTGCTGGCAGGTGTCAGCACTGCGCTGCTGTGGCAACAGCTGGCCTTCCTAGCACACGACCTTGGCCACAACGAGGTCACAGGGAACTCGAAATTCGACATGGTCGTCGGCATCTGCATCGCTGATTTTCTCGGCGGTCTTAGCGTCGGCTGGTGGAAAAAGAACCACAACACGCACCACATCATCACCAACGACATCGACAACGACCCGGATATCCAGCACATGCCGTTCTTTGCCATCTCGACAAAGTTCTTTGAGAGCCGCTACTCGACGTACTACAACCGCATCATGGAGTTTGACGCCGCCGCCAAGTTCTTCATCTCGATGCAAGACAAGCTGTATTATCTGATCATGTGCTTTGCACGCTTCAATCTGTACGTCTTGAGCTGGAACTACATGCTGTTCAGCGACTTTGCGCCGTTCCGCTCGCTGGAACTTGGCTGTGTTGGACTCTTCCTCCTCTGGTTCAGCTACCTCCTCTCGTACATCCCAACCTGGCAGTACCTGCTCACCTACATTTTCGTGTCTCACTCGGTGTCTGCCATCCTGCACATCCAGATCACGCTCTCGCATTTCGCCATGTCGACCGAGTCGCCCGACCCCGAGCGCGAATGCTTTGCAGCGCGCCAGATCCGCACTACCATGGACGTCATCTGTCCTACCTACTTTGACTGGTTCCACGGCGGCCTGCAGTACCAAATCGAGCACCATCTGTTCCCGCGTCTGCCGCGGCACAAGCTGCGCAGCGTGCAGCCCATGGTCCGAGAGATTTGCAAGCGGCACGGTATGGACTTTATGGAGTTCTCGTTCATTGACGGAAATGTTTACACGATTCGCTGGCTTGGCGAGATTGCCAGCCAGGTCAAGGTGTACAATTGCCGCGAGAAGCTCGAGAACGAGCAGATCAGCGCACTGAAGCAGGCCATTTCAGTAAAGAGCTAGTGGACCGAGTGTTTGTGTCTAGATTCAATTACAAAAACTGCCATCTCTACCAAACTGTTCCAAAGAACCGCCCCCCAAAAAAGAGCCATTTTCGTGAATGTTGCAAATCGGTACTTGCTTCGTGAAGAGTCTGGAAACATTCCGGCAGATCAGTCCTTTCCGAACGAGATTGCTGCTTGAGAAGCCACTCGTGTATATGACCCGCCTGATGAGAAACCGATCATAGCTGTGGGCTATATTCTGCTTTCAACCACCCTGCAGTGAGCTTGACAACGGGATATAGCCATTTACTTGTGATACAAAGCCAGAAACACAAGGTGCCATTAGTGACATTTGTAATACCCCAGTGACCCGAAAACCACAATTTGGTTCCGACTATTGCGGCATTTCTGAATTATATTGGCGTATTGTATTCACACACAATACATAGGGTAGGGAAGGGTCATTCGAAGGATAAACATTTAGTGGTTTGGAGTTTTGTCCAGTATATGTAGATGTATACGCCACCGTGTTGGCTTCGAGACGGTAAGGAATTTCAAAGCCACTATACCATGCCAGCAACATAAAAGCTTGGCATCCTGGACCACATGGCCCTGTGTTTTTCTCCTCAGTCATTTTTTATCATGACTTGTTTTTCAACAAAAAAAAAGTTCGATAACACTTGCTCGTAATGGTTAGCACACCATACCAAGCGTAGGACTGCAATGCCAAGCTCTAGTGACAAGCTGCCTTAAGATAGTTGAAATTGGCATGTGTCTTTTCTGTTGATGGACCCCTATAGTTAACCACTGCCAATTCGATATCAGACTGCCTATCAATATCAGGTAGTAATCTCCAAAGCTGGCGTTGCAAGTATTTGGCAATGAACAGCAAACCATTGTGTTTACAAGCCTATTTACTTGTGCTGGCTCTGGATCCTTTACTGTTGTGGTGTACACATACACATGATGGCTGCTTGTGAAATATCCTTTATACACGTTTGAGCAAAAATCAATGTATATTAATATGATCATGGTATTCGGTTTTGCATTTATTTTAAAGACATGTCGGTAGCTTGCAGTGTGAGTTTGTGTAGTGCAATAGTCAAACCATGAGGATATCCAATGAAACCCATTGATAACGCCATGATTAAACTATATGCTTGCGGGCTGGTACCGCAGTCCTGATGAGAAATGAGAACCAAACATGCTGGCATCAGCTATAAAAAGTCCTGTAATGGAAGCTTAGTTCATAGCCATGTGTTGAAGTACACATCGTGTCCGCTGCAAAAATAGGTGGCCACTGGCCATATGCACACGTGGAAGTATTTGTGTCAGCATAAAAATTGCACTTTTACAACGTGGCTCATTAGGCTATGTAGAAGCACAGCAAGAGGCCATGGTTCAGTGTTGGAAGCGTCATTGTGAAGCATGCTAATCGCAGCACACCACTGTCAGCGTGAATGTAAGTGCGCTTCGCTGACTCTTCGCTACATCCAGGGCCCCTAAACCAGTGCACAGGGCTATCATCTGGTGATAGCAGTTCTGTGTCCCCTACTCATGGCCTGCCAAGTGTCCGTGTTTGCTTCTTCTTTGGCCCAAAAGAGCAGGCATTCAAGGAAGTGGGTCTGGTACAGGCCATGGTGTCTCCTTGTTCTACCGGGCGGGAGCATTAATTCTGCGGCCGTAACGTCACTCGCTGTCGGCACTGCCGATCTCGAAAATGGGATCGACTCGAGCCGTTGTGCGCTTCGGCGAACTGTTTACGATTTTGAAAAAATCGAATATAGTGCGAGGTCAGGGGAAGGCCAGCCCAGCTGTATCGCGCATTTTTCTGTGGTCGGCTGTCTCAGCTGCCAGAGCGCTTGCAGGTCCGACGGTAGATACCGCCCACTCCCACTCCCTCTTTTCCTTCTTGCCTCTTCATTTCCTCGAATTCGTCCTTTTGTAGCGTAGATATCTTTCATCCAGCCTATTTGGTTTCTACGCGCGGCTACACCTTCCTTTGTGCTGAACGTCTACCACCGGGAATACCTCTCACGATAATCAGCAGGTAAGCACAAGCTGACGCACACAGCGGAGCCTGCCCACAAGCCATGGCAGTAAAGCACAGGGCTGCAGGGCTCATGCTGCATAGTCAGTGTTGAAGGCCGTTTGCTCTAGGACGAAAAGCGCTTTTTCAATGCCTGGGCAGGGCGCCACTCGTCTCCCAGAGAAGAAAGTTATTTTGAATACCTGTCGCCCTATCTCTCTACCTCCCCTCGCAGCCATCCTGCATACAGCAGTTTTCTGTCTCAGAGCCCTCTGCTGCTGGCAGTGGTAGACGTGGCCGAACGAGAAAAATTGTACATTCTGAGGATTGTTTGCTAACTGGCATGACGGATTCGGCATCCGGCGATTCTGGTCTTTATATGGCCTGCGTGGTTCTGCATTGTTCGCCCGCCGTATTGCTATCCCTCTTGTATCGGGCACCTTGGTTGACAGCCGATGGTGGTGATTCCAGGCACAAGGGTGCCATGCCACTCCCGCGCTCCTTGCATGCTAATGCCGTTTGTTGCTCTGGCCATCGCCGAAGGCGCAGGGGGAGTTAGTATTGCTCGTCTCCGCCGCCCCGGGAACGATGCAGAACAGCTCTATCGGCACAGCAGCGACTGCTGTGCCCTGCCCTCCTGTCTCTCTGTTCTGTGAATACTCTTTCTTTTTCAAACACCGCACCTTTTTACTGATGCTCGCCGGGTTGAATATTCTGCTAGGACGTTCGCCGCAAAAGCCTTCGTACATTGGCACACTTTCCACCACAAAGCCATTCAAGCCTACCGTGCGGCATCAAAACCGATTTAGCGTGTCGCTGTTGCTTGAGGAGATTGATAGTTTAACCAACGGGATTGACAGTTCAGCAGCGACCAACGGAGCCATGTCAGAGGTAAGAGCCGCGGTCTTGCATCGGCCGAGTGACACAAGGCCGATAATTGGTAAACAAGGGCACAACCACTAAAGTTGGCAATCCCATGTGGCCGTGTGCTATTCGTAGGACGAGAATACAAACAAGACGTTCGCCATCGTCAAGCCTGATGCGCTGACACCGTTCAAATACCAGCAGATCGATGCGCTTATCAAGCTCAACGAGTTCGAGATCACGCGGCAGAAGCTGGTTTGGCTGACGCCCGAGCAGGCAGACGCGCTGTTTCCAGAGAGGTCGTTTGACCAGGACCACGCGCAGTGGGTCGAGTACATCACCAGCGCACCCAGTCTGGCGCTGGAGCTGACCAAACCGAACGCGACTCTCTACTGGCAGATCGCTATGGGTTCCGAGTTTTCAGCTGAGAACGACGACCGGGACGACGACTCGATTCGCGGCATTCTGGCAATCGACCGCATCCGCAATGCGGTTGACGGCAGCGAAGAGCCTGAAAATGCAGTCAAGCAGCTAGAGCTGGTGTTCTCGGACCGTGTTCCCGAGATCCCGTACGACAACTTTCTGATGATGCGCGCTGTGGCCGCGCACAACACATTGGCCATGATCAAGCCCGATGTGTCGCTGGACAAGAATGCAGTCAACAGGATAATCAGCAGGATCACGGCGCGCGGGTATGCGATCAAGGACCGTGTCGATATCAAGCTGTCCAAGGCCCAGGCGCGCGCATTCTATGCTGAGCACGAGGGGAAGCCGTTCTTTGATGCCCTGATTGAGTTTATGACCAGCGGACCAGTTATTGCGCTGCTACTGGACGGCGACGATGTGATCCGTGGGTGGCGCATGATGATCGGTCCGACCGATAGCGAGGCAGCGCGCCAGACTGCTCCATTGTCATTGAGGGCCCTGCTTGGAGCGAATCTGCAGTATAACGCCGTGCATGGCAGTGACTCGCTGGACAGTGCCAAGCGTGAGCTGACGTTCTTCTTCTCGCCACGGATCCAGCACGAAGAGGACCCCGAGCCGGTGAAGGAGGAGGTCGAGGAGGTATCTGACGTTGATAATGACGACAAGACAGCCGAGGAGCCGGCAGCCAGTGGCGAGGACAAGAAGAAGAAAAAGAAGAAGTCAAAGCGCCGCAAGCGCAAGCAGACGGTGTCCTCCGCCACGCCCTCTGGTCCAGAGACACCGGCAACAACCACAGCCGCTGTATCAGACGCAAGCGACGCTGAGAATGCCAATGCCAACGGGGCATCAGCGAAGCAGTCAGTAGTCGAGTTAGCACAGCCCTCCGATCCCATGTACGAGCGCACATTCGGGCTGATCAAGCCTGACGCATACCCCCGCTATCGCAAGCAGATAACAAAACACATCATCGAGCGCGGGTTCACCATCGTAGCCCAGGAACAAGTCGTGCTGACCACTGCATGCGCGGAGCGACTGTACAGTGAGATGCGCAGCTTCCCAATCTACTCACGCCTGATCGAATTCGTTACCAGCGGGCCAGTGCTGGCATTAGTGCTCGAGGGGATCGATGCTGTTGATTCATGGCGTGGGTATGTCGGCCCGGCCCTTCCGAAGAGTGCCCGGTTCGAGGCCCGCGACAGCCTGCGTGCAAAGTACGGGACTGACGCGCAGATGAACGCTGTTCATGCGAGCAAAGACAGCGAAGCTGCGGCCAGCGAGATCGAAACGGTCTTTTATGGCCTGCTTGGCGGCAAATACACCACGCTCACGACGACAGATGATCCTCTGGCAACTGAATTCCCAGCTGAGATTGAGCACGCCCGGGCTGTTGCCGAAGCTGCTGCTGCTGAGGCTGAGGAGGAGGCTCGCCGTAAGGCGGAGGAAGAGGCTAAGGCTGCTGCTGAGGAGGCCCGACTAAAGGCTGAAGAAGAGGCGCGGATCAAGGCTGAAGAGGAAACCCGTCTCCAGGCCGAAGAGGAGGCCCGCCTTATTGCAGCCGAGGAAGCACGTCTCAAGGCTGAAGAGGAGGCACGCATTGCCGCTGAAGCCGCAGCAGCCGAGGAGGCACGTCTTAAGGCTGAAGCAGACGCGAGGGCAGCTGAGGAAGCCCGCATCAAGGCTGAGGAGGAGGCACGTCTTCAGGCCGAGGAAGAGGCACGCATTGCTGCCGAAGCTGCAGCAGCTGAGGAGGCCCGTCTCAAGGCTGAAGAGGAAGCTCGCCTCAAGGCTGAAGAGGAAGCTCGCCTCAAGGCTGAAGAGGAGGCCCGTCTCAAGGCGGAGGAGGAAGCTCGCCTCAAGGCGGAGGAGGAGGCACGCATTGCCGCTGAAGCCGCAGCAGCCGAGGAGGCACGTCTTAAAGCTGAAGCGGACGCGAAGGCAGCTGAGGAAGCTCGTCTCGAGGCTGAGGAGGAAGCGCGTGCTGCTGCTGAGGAAGCACGTCTTCAGGCCGAGGAAGAGGCACGCATTGCTGCCGAAGCCGCAGTAGCCGAGGAGGCTCGTCTCAAGGCGGAGGAAGAGGCACGAATCACCGCTGAAGCTGCTGCAGCCGAGGAGGCACGTCTTCAGGCCGAGGAAGAGGCACGCACTGCCGCTGAAGCCGCAGCAACAGAGGAGGCTCGTCTCAAGGCGGAGGAGGCGAAGACAGCTGAAGAGGAGGCACGTCTTAAGGCTGAAGAGGAGGCTCGTGTCAAGGCAGAGGATGGCGCTAAGGCGGTCGAGGAAGCTAAGATCAAGGCAGAGGAAGAGGCAAAGGCCCAGGAGGCGCAAATTGCTGCCGAAGCAGCCGCTAAGGAAGAGGAGGAGGCTAGGGGTGCTGAAGAAGCTAAGGTCAGGGCTGAGGAGGAAACCCGCGCCGCCGCTGCCGCCGCTGCCGCCGCTGAAATCGCCGCTGCCGAAGCCGCTGTCGCTGCCGAGATTGAGGCTGAAATCAGGGCCAAGGCCGGGGGAGAGGCTGCTCACGATGAGCACATTGAAGACAGTGCGCCTGCTGAGAACAAGAGCACGGCCGGAACACCAGCGATGTCACCCCAGACTAAGCCAAGCTCGCACTTTGGCCAGCGCCTTGCCAACTCGCCATTCCTCCAGGCAGACAGGCTCTCGGGTGGTGAGCAGACGCCGCCGCCCAAGCGGCCGGGGCGGGTCATCTCGCCATTCCTTGAGCACGGACACCAGGAGCCAAAGTCGATCTCTGGCGTCTTGGCGGTGAAGCCGGAGGATGTTAAGCAGGATGAGTCAAACGACACGGACAATGTTGCTGGCCAGCGTAGCGGTCTGAACATCGAGACCGATAAACCTGCTGAGGAGAAGACCGCTGAGGAGAAAGAGACCCCTGCCAAGAACCCAGCCACCCACGCAGCACCTCGCTCAGCTGCTTCTGGTCCCCCACGCACGACCCGCCCCGCGCGCCCAGCACAACCAACCACACCAACAAAGCCATCAGGTGCCACTGCATCTCGCACCACTCCGACTCGCCCAGCTCCCGGTCGCGCTGCTCCCGGTGCTCCCGTGCGGCCTGTCCGCCGCGCAGTTCCAGGAGATACTAGCAAGCCTGCATCCACCAGTGGCCCCACAGTCCGTCGGCCAACCCTCACTGGTGCTTCGACTACGCTGCGCACAACTGACACTGCCCGCACCACCCGTCCCGCACCCACGACGCCAACTCGTGCTCCTACCACAGCATCAGCGCGGTCCCCGACGTCTGCCCGGGCACCGGTAGCCCGGGCACCGGTGACATCGCCATCCACTGCTCGTCGCCCTGCTGCATCCAGCACAGCCCGGCCCTCGACGTTGTCACCATCTACGGCTCGCACTGCTCGCACTACCACCGTGCCGGCAAAGTCGCCCACTACTATGGCGCCCTCTCGTGCCCGCGCTTCCTCGACTTCGGGGGCAGTCAGAGCAGCAACAACTACTGGAACCCCGGCAACTAGGTCTCGCCCTCCTGTGCCATCATTTGCGGCGCCGTCTGCCCGGCGTCCAACAGCGACGACTACAGCGACGACCGCTGGTGCTGCCAGATCCACCATGAGCACCACACGGCCGGCTGCTACGTCGGCTAAGCCCGCTGTCCGCACTGCGTCAGCTACCCCTGCAAGACCAACGGCATCCACTACGACCCGCTCGACTGTCACTAGACCGACTGCGAGCGGACCAAGCACGGTCCGACCGACCACCACCCGCCCGACTGTGACTCGGACTGCTCCTTCCACGAGGACGCCTGCGGCAGGCTCATCGGCTCGTGTGCCAGCAGCCAGGCCATCGGCTACTAGCGCTGGTCGTGTGCCTGTTACTCGGGCCCCTGCCAGCACCCGGACGGCCACGGCCACAGCCACGACCACGGCATCTACGACCCGTGCTACAGCTGCAAGGTCCACAGCGCCGGTTAGCCGCACACCTGTCCGCCCCACAGCCACCGCAGCTGCCCGTGCGCGGCCTGCCCCTAGCCAGACGAAGCCAGCTGTTCCCCGTGCGCCAGCCAAGAGGCCCTCTGCACCGGAGAACAAGCCCTCTGAAGCCAAGGAGCCTGTCAAGACTGAGGATGCTCCCAAGGCGGAGGAAAAGCCCGCTGAGGTCAGTGATAGTACTTCCAAGACCGAGGAGCCAGCGGAGGCACCAGCGGAGGCACCAGCGGAGGCACCAGCGGAGGAGCCGGAGAAGGAGTCGGCGGAGGAGTTGACCGAGAATTGAGCAGAGCCATGGTCAATGCTTGCACGTGACCACGGTGGCAGGTCTTTGTTGACAGTTGTTGCCCCAGACCAAAACGTCACGGCCTACAAGCGCCCCTCGCCCTCTTCAGATTTCCAGCTTTAGCCAGTCGTCTTTAATTCCACTCTTTTACGTTTTCAAACAAGCACATTTAAACCCTTCTTTCTCCAGGCAAATGCTGTCGCCGAACCCGTTTGACCCGACGCTCTGCGGCGAAATACCGTCGGCGCAGAATACAATACTGACGTTCATGCTCTGCGTGGGCACGTTTCTGTCGTACCTCCCTCAGCACATAAAGATAATCCGGCACCGGACGAGCGAGGGCATCAGCCCGTACTTTATCCTCCTGGGCACGACGGGCGCCGGGTCGAACATTACAAACATGATAATTCTACAGTTTATTGTCATGCAGTGCTGCACAGTGCAAACGTGGGGCGTGTGTGTGGCCAGCCTGCTGGGGATTTTCCAGGTCGGCATTCAGAGCACCATGTTCTATATTACGTTCGTCCTCTTCCTGGCCTTCTTCCCCGAGGCCAACAAGTATGAGGCAGTGCCAGCAGGCGATGAGGCTGTAGCGAATAGCGAGTCGAGCCCGCTGCTGCCTGCAACGGCTGTAGCAGATGGAGCGCCGAAGCGGCTGGCGATGGAGTGGAAGGCAGCACTGTGGGTGGCCACAGCGGTGGCTGTGCATGGCACTATATGTATCGTGATGAGTGCCCTGCTGGTTGTGTTTGTGGGGCCGTATTCTGCGCCGACGCGTACCTGGGCGAGCCTCCTGGGTCTGTTCAGTCTGTGCACAACATGCATGCAGTTCATCCCGCAGATTATCAAGACGTGGCGGTCGGGCCAGGTAGGTGCGCTGAGCATCCCGATGATGCTGATGCAGACGCCCGGCGGATTTGTGTTTGCGTACTCGATTGCTATCCGGCCGGGCGTCAACTGGTCCAGCTGGATCTCAACCTTTGTTGCGGCGACGCTGCAGGGCGTGCTGCTGACAATCTGCCTGGTATTTGAGGAGCGAGCCAAGGATGCCCGTCGTCTTCAAAGCACCGGCGCTGCTGCGGTGAACAATGGAGAGAATGCTGCGGCTGGTGGGGAAGCGTCTGGTTCGGTGACTGGGGCTGACAATGCAGCGGGGAGTCAATGAATGGCAGTAGTGCTCCGGCTGATGCGAAATAGTCGCGCCCAGTTTTTTTCTTCAGTGAATGTTATACAGTTGATAGACAGCGCTTAAAAAGGCAACACGGGACGCGAAAAGGGCGCTGGGGTGCGTGAAAATTCCATGCAACACTTTCCTCTCCACTCCTTTCTGACTCGCTTGGCTGTTGTCAACAAAAAACCTTTTTTTTTTCTACCTATTTTCCTGGGATTCTACAATGCCAAAATGTCTTTTGCTTTTAGACGACACCTTGACACACCCACAGCAACACAGTCAGACAGCGCACCGACGGCGATGGTATGCGCGTTCTCGCTGTTCCAGGCCAGCAGCACCTGTCCATTGCACGCAGCACCAGCAGTCGACTTTCTCAGCGACATGAAGCGGCGCAACGAGCAGGACAGCGACCACAGAAACATCATGACGCCCGAGTTTCGTGCCTTCTGCGTATCAGTACGCGAGCATGTAATCTGCGGGTTCGTACTGCTTACGTTTTTCATTCTCTCGTATATTGCCGTGCGGCGTGCGTGTGCAGCGCAGGTGCAGAAGCACGGCCGCAGTAAGCAGCGATACCTGACAACCCCGTACTCGTCTGTGTTTCGGGCGCGGCAGGTTCCACAGATCCTAGCGAGTATTGGGCTCGCATCGGTCAGTATGCTGGCGATGCTGCTGGCGGTGACCGTGGCATTATCGAATGTGATGGATTTTGGCGATCCGAGGCATCTGGCAACATGGCGGACATGGCTGTTGCCGCATACGCTGCTAGTTCCAGGTGAGCGGCAGACGGGTGCACTAGCGAATAGCAACTGGACGGGACCGCAGGGCGCGCACGATTTCCCGCCTGTGCTGCGAAGGCTGTGGCTGTACCAGTCCAGTGTGTCAATTACCAGCTCAGTGTTCTTGCTGCCCATGGGCGTTCTGTTCGAGGGCACGTCGCAGCGCATGCCGGTATTGCGGAGAGTATTGGTAGCGCTGGCGCGCTGGCTGGCAGCGGCTGGCATGCTGCTGGGAATGTGGACGCTGCTGTGCACGCGTAGCAGCTACATGTATGGGCTCGGTTTGTACCAACCGTTCGCGGCAGATGCGGCCACGATGCGGTATTCCGTGTACTATGCGGCATGTGTGTTTGCAGCACTGCCAACGGTCCTGCTGGTTGCACCACGGGGTACTTGGGCCCTGTTCAGCTGGCTTAGGTGCTGTGTTGGACAGACGAATGAGATGAGACATCGGACGATGCAGCGGTTTGCGCAGCTGAAGCGCGAGCAGCAGCGTATTGAATCGTGCTTGAGGAACACTATTTCGTCGTGGAAGTGGAAACAGCTGAGGGATTCGGAGGAGGCAGACATTGTTGAGGGCAGCCGCAGCAACAGCAGCAGCAGCAGCAACAGCAGCAACAACAGCGATAGTGAGACGCTTGGGTTTGAGACAATGACGAAAAAGCAAGATAGTCCAAGTGTGACGATTTCCAAGTGTATGCCGGTTGGCCGGCCGCCACGTCATCCCCTGCTACATCCAACAGCGGGCTCACAGCCACGGCTTGGCTTTGGTTCGCTGAGGTCTCGTGTGGCGGGTACCAAGCGCCAGCCTATGTTAGAGACATCCCCGGAGCCACCTTTGTCACGCAGCTCTGCAATGGTGCGCTCTGCATCGGCTGATCGGCTCAAGGAGGCGGGTCTACGATCAAACGCTTCGCTCAGCCGGCTCGCATCATACTTTACCGAGCAGGCAGATATCAGCAACATTGGGCTGGATGGTGTCAACATGGTCAGGGCAGTGCGCAGCGCCCAGCAGAAACGGGCGATGGAGCGTGCGCGTGAGATGCAGCGACTGGCAAGGCAGATACGAGAGTACCACGCGCGGTTATTGTTTGTGCGCGGCGAGCTGAGCAGGATTGAGGACAGCGGGGTGCTCAATGGGGGGAACCGTGGAGGTGTGCCGCGTAGTAAGCGCAGTGCCAAGCAGATCATGGTTGATGTTGTGCGCAATGCATCTGCAGTGCTGCTGACGGCGCTAGCGAATGTGTGCTGGCTACTGGTGGTGCTGCAGATTGCGCGTGGAGCGCTTAGTGCGCTGTTTGTTGGCGAACCGGATCTGACCCAGCGGTTTACGTACTTCCTACCGGCTTTGCCCATGGCCGACAGCTTTTCTGATGGTACGCCAAAGCCGTCGAGGGGCGAGTCGTCTCTCCAACTGGCGCTGCCGTTTGCGCAGCTGGCAATGCCGCCGATTATCACGCTCTGCCAGATGGTTTCGAGTGGGCTGCTGTTTACCGTGGTCATGTTTGGAGTCCTGTCGTTTGGGTCGTCGGTCGAGGAGTCGGTTCATCCGCTGCGATTTCTCATTACATCGTACGCAGGCAGGGTGCTGCGGGCACGGCAGTGGCACTGGCTGCCGCATGTTCTGCTGAGCTCGGAGGTGCTTGATGCAATCAACCCAGTACCTAAACAGTCTGGCAGCACGATAGCTTTGCAGCAGGAGATTCCGAGCAAAATGGTCGGCCGGACCTCTCGCGTGTTTTACTCGTCGAGCACGGATCTGACGAGCTTTTACCGTGGAGTGCAGCGTGAGTCGCTGGCACATTACCCGGTTACTAGCATAGGGGTTCTGTCAGATGATGTTTTGCAGGCGAAGGCGTGGGGCAGGCGGGTGTTTCTGCTGTGGGCGCAGCGACGCAGCCCAGTGACTAGCAAGCAGCTTCTGGCGTATGTTTGGATTGTGACGTGTCTGGCGATGACGTGGCCAGGTGTGCTGCGGACAACAGGGCTGATTTCCGAGCGTGCATATCTGCTGCCCACAGCGTCGCTGGTGCAGCCGCTGTGGACGCGGTATTCGAACGAGGAGCCCGTCGAGCTTCATCCGGTGAATAGCCTGAAGTGTGGGGCGCGCAGAGAGCCTGTGGAGCTGCAGAGGGTCAGCGATGATGGGCAGGATAAGCCTAGCGGCAGGGAGTTCGATAAGCATGGGCCGGCCGCACCTGAGGTGGCACACAAGGCGGCAGTAGTTGATATGCCGTCTGGGGCTGTGTCTGGGGCGACTGCAGATGCAATGCCAACCAACGCACCGAGTGCCAGCCGCCAGCCGTCCAGGACGAGCTCGGCATCGGGCATGCGCACAGTCACTCGACGTGCACTGGTTGAGGCTCTGACATCGGAGACGCCGCTGCGGCTGGTGGTGAAATGGGTGCTTGAGCTGCTGCACGTGTGCTCGCCGCACAGCTCGGTGTCAATGGGCGCTATGATCTGGGTGTCGTGGCCGGATCTGATCGTGCCGCTGACGCCAACGACGATAGATCTGCAGCTAGGATTCCTCCCGCAGCTGTCGGCCGTGGAGGTGCCGCAGTTTGCGTATGGGGTTCCGCCGCGGCTGGCCGAGTGGTATGCGATGCTGGTGCGTGTGGAGATGGGCAGCAGCAGCGGTCTGCCGCAGGACGCCGATGGCACACCGTATATGGTGCAAAAGTGGGCGCCGGTCGTTTGGCACGCAGAGGAGGCCGCATGTGCGGAGGCTGTCGGGGTCGGCCAGGCTGGTCGGTGCCATTGGCAATGGCGTGGCGACAGTGGTTACGCAGGCCGCGTGGCTAGTGCGTGTGTGCACGGGGTTGCTGGCGGCGTGCTTGCGCGAAACAGCCGTGGGAAGTGTGCTGCAGATGTATTGGGATTTCTGGAGACTGGTTGTAGGGCCGACGGTCCCGTATTTGCAGACCGTGTGGTCCAGGATGTGGTTGGGCGTACAGTGGCTCGGCGGCGTGCTTGCGGGCGGCGTCTTGGGCAGCACCTTTGCGAGCCAGCCGATGGCTGTGACAGGCGCTGGCAGCATGGCACCGGCAGTCTTCCTGCCTATGTACTGGGCGTCTCTTGCTGCGCGTAAGGGTCCGGCAGTGCAGCGGCTGCGGCCCGAGCTCTGGCCGCATGCATTCCTAGGAAGCAACAGCTATGTCTACTGGGACGATGTGCTGGACCAACCCATTGTTCTAGCGGGCCCACAGATGCAAGCCATTCAGCAGAGGCGGCCAGGGGAGGCGGAAGGAAGCCAAACAAAGGGCACTCTAAGTGACATCATTGGTGCAGATCCTATTGATTCATCTGCTGGCTCTGGACGGACCGAGGGGCGGCGGCGGCAGCTGGTGGCAGTGGCACAGGCACCAGCGGCGGTGGAGGAGCCTGCGGCGGTGGTTGTGCGACCGGTGCGCAAGGTGTGGACGGCGTTTGACTGGCTGCTGGCCGTATACCGTGTTGTGCTGGGCGTGCTGGCAGGACGGGCGATGTTTGCGCGGTCACGGCAGGTGCCGATTCTGTCGCTGTGAAAGAACTCTGGTTCTCAGGGACCAGACTAAAAAAGAAAGTAAATAGCGCTCTACTGGTTTGCAGTTTGCTTGTGGCACCCGGTTGATTCCGCTAGTGTTGCAGGGCTCGGCCCGTGAAGATGGCATTATTAATGATGCCAAGCGAGCCGCATAAAAATAGTCGGCTGCGTCAAAACGCGAATCTCTCCCACCTTGGCAGCGCTTTCTTCTTTCTATCTTCTGTATATAACAGTTTTTTATTGCCTCTTTTTTTTTTTTTCCTGCCAACCTATATATAAATTTCCCCCCATAGCGCTATGGCCGACAGCATACCGACAAGTACGGCAACAGGGCCGGGCATGACGGCATTGGCAACTGAGGTAGCGACGCTGTTGACCAGCTCGCTGGCATCGGCGACAACGACAGCGCTAACCACCACGACGAGCAGGGGAGTGCCAGACAGCACGGAGGAGCCGCTGCCGGAGGAGGAGGAGAGGGTGTCAGCGCAGGCGCTGCTGATCCTGGTATCGCTTCTGATCATGGCACTGCTGACGTCGTACTACCTGCAGCGGTGGCGGATCCGCACGGTGCATGAAACGGTGCTGTCGATATTTGCCGGGATGGCAGTGGGGCTGGTTTTGCGATTCAGCACAGGGCATTATATCAAGCGGATGGTGACGTTCGACCACACGGTGTTTTTCAACATGCTCCTGCCGCCGATTATCCTGAACTGCGGGTACGGCCTGCAGAAGACGCAGGTGGGGCGGAATCTGGTGCCGGTGCTGACGTTTGCGTTTCTGGGGACGGCAATCAGCGCGGTGGTGATTGGGGTGCTGGTGCAGATATACTCGTGGACGGGCATCGAGCGGATAGAGTTTTCGCTTCTGGACTCGCTGATTCTGGGCACGATTCTGTCGGCGACCGACCCGGTGACGATCCTGGCGGTGTTTGAGCAGCTCAAGGTGGAGCCAAAGCTGTTCTCGATCATATTCGGCGAGACGGTGTTCAATGATGCAGTGGCGATTGTGCTCTTTGTGACATTGAGCGGTCTGCGGGCGGCGGGCCGGGAGTTTACGCTGGCGGCAGTGCCCGGGATGCTGGGGTCGTTTATGTTTGTGTTCTCGATGTCGCTGCTGGTGGGGTGGGGATGGGGGTGATGGTGTCGCTGATGTGCAAGCACACGCGGCTGTACGAGTACCCGTCGATCGAGGCGTCGCTGGTGCTGCTGATCTCGTACCAGTCGTATCTGTTTGCGAATGCAATCGAGTTGTCTGGGATCGTGTCGTTGCTGTTCTGCGCGGCGACGACGCGGCAGTACGCGTACAAGTCGCTGTCGAAGAAGAGCAAGCGGGCGACCCGGTATCTGTTCCATCTGCTGTCGGGGCTGGCGGAGAACTTTGTGTTCATTTATTTGGGCATCTCGCTGTTTACTGCGGAGGACGTGAAACTGAAGCCGGTGTTTATCGTGTTTGTGATGGTGGCGACGTGCATTTCGCGGTACTCTGCGATCTTCCCGCTGGCGCGGGTGCTGAATGCGGTGTTCAAGTACCGGCATCCGTCGGCGCCGTCGTCGGCGCAGCCGGTGACGCACGAGGAGCAGACGATGCTGTTCTGGGCGGGGCTGCGCGGGGCCGTGGCGGTGGCATTGGCCAGCGAGGTGTCGGGCGAGAACGGCGCGCTATTGCGCACTACGGTTCTGTGCGTGGTGGTGCTGAGCGTGACGATTTTCGGCGGCACTACCCCGCAGGTTGTGCAGAAACTGGGGATCCGCACTGGCGTGGGGCAGCCGGACTCGTCGGATGACGACGATGGCGAGGACGGGCCTGATGGCGAGGGCGCCGTACTCGTACCATGACGTGGAGGATGGTGGTCGGATTGTGGATCTGTCGAATGGGCAGGCGCGGGAAGAGCAGGAGGTGGATGGGATGGAGAGCCATGCAATGGCGCAGCTGCCGGCGTCGTCCTTCAATGGGTTCGTCAGCTCGCCGGCGTCGTGGCGCGAGACCGGCGAGAGCTGGCTGGCGCGGATCCGCAACTCGTACCGGTCGGTGGACCGGTCGCTGATCACAGACATTGACACGCATTACATCCAGCCGTTCCTGACGCGCGACCGCGCAGAGCAGGCAGCGCAGCACCGGCCGCTGGCTACGCAGGAGCAGAGCCAGGCGCTACGGCAGGCGTACTCGTCGGAGGACTTTGCCCAGCACCAGCACCAGCAGCATCAGCAGCAGCAGCAAGGAAATGCAAACAGCTCGAGCTGGGCGGATTACTATCCGGACGGCAGCGAGGACGGCAACTGGGGATCTAGCGCATCGGACCTGTATGACATGCGCCAGCAGCAACAGCAGAGGAGCCAGCCAGCCGCTGCTCAAAAAGAGCACGTAAAGGTAAACAGTGTTTATGACTGGTTGAACGAAGAAAGTTGGATAAAGAGGAAAACGTAAAAAGAAAAAGTCGGGAGTGAAAGACCGGCGGTTTGGGAGGGAAGATGTTAGAATGAATCGCTAGATAAAAAATCAATAAAAGGGAACGCAATAAGAGTAGTCGCAATAGTTAAGAAAGCGCAGCAAGGGAGGGGGAGTGATTAGAAGCTTGTTTTTGTTTGCTGCTCAAAAGGCAGCGCCATTGACCTCGTCCTGCTTGCTCCACTGGTGCAGGCAGGCATACATGGGCGCCAGGCGGCGGTCCAGCGCGGCCAGCAGCGCATAGTCGGGCAGCACGGGCTCTCGCCGCGCACCAGCATCGACACGCAGTCGCTCGACGCAGGAATGGCCAGGTACTCGCGCACTGCCCGTGCCATCGCCGGATACGCATCCTGGTTCGCCCGCCACCACGCCAGCGGCTGGGCGCGCGGGCAGCCAATGGCGCAGCAACGTAATCGTCCAGCTCCGTCTGCCCCGACGCCCAGGCCCGGCGGAACACCCGCGCACTGCCATCAACAGCCAGGCGCTGGGCAGTCTCGCCCAGCCGCACAAACAACTCGGTCTGCGCACGCACATCAGCAGGCATTGCGCGCAGCTCACTGGCCAATAGAGGCTCGGAGTGGGCCGGCGGTGCGGCTGCTTGGGCGAAGGGCGCGCACAGTGTCTGGGCATCGCGAACGACGCGCGCAGTCCACGACGCGTCGTACTGGCGGTCGGCGTAGTACTGGGACTTTAGACGTGGGTCAAACAGCGGTGCGAAGCGGTAGATGGGCGAGGCCTGGAACGGATGGCACTGCGCCAGGTGGTCGCGCAGGGCCTCGGCCGCGCGGCGCACGTCATTGCGCAGACTGGGGGCGTCGAGGAAGGCAGCGACGTCATCGGCCAGCACGTCATACAGCGGCGCCACCGCCACGGCGCTCGGAAACTCGCCGCCAGCGCGCGCCACTCCTGCCACACCCGCATCCAGCACGCGCAGCAGCACACGGATCTGCGCCAGCGCCAGCCAGTCGTCTTGCGAGATGGCCTCCATCCCGTCTGCAATAATCAGCGCCGCCAGCTCGGAGCGCACGGCCAGGGCGCTGCCCACAAACGCCAATGTTGAGCCCCACAGCCGCGTCTCGTCGACCTCCAGTGTGGCCGCATCCAGCGCATGCATGCGGTACAGGTCAGCCAGCTGGCGCGCAGAGGAGCCCTGGGCCCGCCTTATGCGCTGGACGGCGCGGTATAGGCGCTCCAGCGGCGGCAGCTCACCCTCCTCGGCTGGGCTGTAGAGAAGACTGAGCAGCGTGCTCTGGGCATCCAGTAATGTGCTGACAATGCACGTGGCCTGGCTGCGGTCCAGGTCGAACTCGGCGCCGCGCGCATGGCAGATGGTTTCGGCCTGGTTCAGGAACTCGACGAACTCGCGCGTGTAGCTGGTGGTCACGGTGCCCAGGCGCCCGAACAAATCAAACCGCGCCAGCGCTGCCTCGAAAAGC